TGGTTCTGCTGGTACACAACACCATCAGCAAAATGAGCTTTTCCTTTGGGGCTCTTCCTCCAGGGCATTTTAGTTTGGAATAGAATTGTTGAGGTTGGAAAAGCCCTCTAAGACCATCCAGTCCAGCTGCTCCCCCAGCACTACAAAGCCACCACTAACCAATGTCCCAACTGCCACATCCATGTTTTTTATTTGCATGGAAGTTTTGCTGAAGTGGTTTAATGAGACTTCAGAACCTCCAGGGCCAGGGGAATGGGTGCTGTGCTCTGGGGGGAGCAGGGACATCCTGGCTGATGYTGCTGCTGTGTTTTGTTCCAGTACAACTACCAGAACGCCTGGAATTACGGACAGTATTACCACACAACTTGATCCCAGGAGGGAATGGAGTTCACTGTGCTGCAGTTTCAACAAAGATGGAGTAAAAAAAAAAATTCTATTTTTCTAATTTTGGGCTGTGAAAGAACTGTTGTGCCACCTGCTTTTGGTCCTCTGCATGTGAACTGAGCTGCTGCTCACAACTGGGGTATGTGCGAAGATTTGTGTGCTGGTAACTGATAAATGGTCTCTGTACAATTCTCATTTACCATAAATGATTTTTCTTAATTCCCTGCACTAATTTATGGAGTATCAGAAGAATTCTCGTTGGTCTCATGATTCCATAATTGAGTGGGTGAAGCTGTGGGGGTTTGAGTTGGTTTTGCCCCAGAGCTGCTCTGCTGCCTGGCCCTGGCCCCAGGGCTGGAGCCAAGGCTTGTCCTGCTCCCAGCCCAACTGTCAGGGAGCTTTTCCAGGCCATGTTGGGATTGGGGGCTTTGGCAGAGCTGCCACACGGGTTCCRTAGTGTGGGAGGGGGTCAGGGATTAAAACCACCATCGTTCTTTTCTAAAAAGCACAAACTGTGTTTGGGATGAGTTTTGTATTTAGAGTTTTTCATGTACACAGTGTGAGCAAAACTTTTTTCATTTTGATCAAAGTGATCATTCCCATTTTTGTAATAAAAGCAAGGAATTGAGTAGTGCTCTGAACTTTCTTGGACTGCCTCATTGGAGCCAGAGGGAGAATGCYTGAGTTCACTCAGGAGGGGCTGTGGCACAGAGATTCCACAGGAGCACTTGTGAACACCCAGATCTGTGGGAGCAGAGCTTTTATCAAATGCCTTTSCAGAGGAATGGGGTTTGGAGTGGGATTGGGCTCCACAGGAGCAGGGCTGGGAGTGAAGGAGCCTGGGCTGTGTGTGGGGGTCCCAGGGGGCTCTGCAGTGCCCAGCACAGGAGCAGGGAGAGCACAGACACAAAGAAGGGAGGCACTGGCCAGTACAAACTCTGCTTTAGTGGGGCTGTCACTGTACAGCAGCGGGGCAGGGACAACACTCAGCACTCATTGCCAGAAAGGCACCGTTGGAACCGGAGCCCGGAGTTAACACACCAGCAGGAAGCTCTCATTCCCAGCAGCACAGGGAATTCTTCATTCGATATCCACCAGTTCCACTTCAAAGAACAGCTTTGCGTTTGGTGGGATCCTGGTGGCAGATGTTAAGGAAGCTGAAAGGGAACAGCCCCTGCAGTTCCCCCGTCCCTCCCTGGTCTGTGGGGTGTCCCTGACCCGCTGGACACCCCGGATCCAGCAGAGCCACAGCTGCTGCCCAGCAGGAGCTGGCAGGGACAGGGGCCAGCTCCATGGATACACCTTCATTAACACTCCCTTATTCCTTATTCCTTATTCTCAGTCTCACTGAGCTGCCCCAACCTTGGCTGCAGGTTTGGGGACAGGGGCCAGCTCCATGGATACACCTTCATTAACACTCCCTAATTCCTTATTCCCAGTCCCACTGAGCTGCTGCAGATTTGGGGCACTGGCTGTGGAGGTTACACCTTCCCACTGCCACAGGGGAAAAGCATCCAGGCAGCTTTTCAGATTGCAGCATGAGACAACAATCCCTTCCCCTCCTCCAGAAGGGTTGGAAAAAAGGAACAGGAGTGCATCAAACACTGCAGGATCAGTCCTGCACCCCCTACTTCAGCTGCATCCCAGAACCACATTTAACTGTCCCCACAGGTAACACCCTCCCTTTCCCTACCCTGCTGAGGATCCCCATCAGGCATAAGCGCTTGGAAGCAGCTGCAATAAAAACAAAGGTGGAGAACAGCAGCAGGTTCCCCCTACACGAGTTTTTCWGCAAAAGGAAAGGGCAGGATGGGCCCTGAACTCCGGGAGTGGGAATATCCTGAGGCTGCTGAGTACCACGTGAATCCCCCATTACACCCTGTCCATGAAGCCCCTCGTTGCCCCCAGCATTCCCAGTTTGCTGCAGCAGTCCCAGTTCCTGAAGGATACTTGGCATCGGGCTGCCCCTTCTTGCCGTAGGCCCACTCGGGCTCGATCTCCAGCTGGGCCTTCTCCCCTTTGCTCATGGTCAGCAGGGCTTCATCCCACTGCAAGGACAGACAGACAGACAGACACACAGCAGCTGCAGGCAGCGGGCACGGCACAGGAGCCTCCAGGGACAACAGGGACTGCACTAACCAGCTTCTGTTAGCACCAGGAATGGCCTGACAGCCCCACGGCCTCCCCAGCACTGTCCTGCTCCTGCAGTGCAACCCCATAGTGCAATCCTATAGAGCAGCCCCACAGTGCAGCCCCACAGCACTGCCCTGCTCCCACAGTGCAACCCCACAGTGCAGCCCCACAGCATTGCCCTGCTCCCACAGTGCAACCCCACAGCACAGCCCTGCTCCCACACAGCCCCACAGCGCAGCCCCACAGCCTCCCCAGCACTGTCCTGCTCCCACAGTGCAGCCCCATAGTGCAATCCTATAGAGCAGCCCCACAGTGCAGCCCTACAGTGCAGCCCTACAGTGCAGCCTCACAACGCAGCCCCACAGTGCAGCCCCACAGCGCAGCCCTGCTCCCCCAGCGCAGCCCTACAGTACAACCCCACAGCACAGCCCTGCTCCCACACAGCCCCACAGCCTCTCCAGCACTGCCCTGCTCCCACAGTGCAACCCCACAGCTCAGCCCTACGGTGCAGCCCTGCTCCCACACAGCCCCACAGCACACCCCCACAGCACAACCCCACAGTACAGCCCCACAGCACAACCCCACAGTACAGCCCCACAGCACAGCCCCACAGCCTCCCCATCACTGCCCTGCTCCCACAGGGCAACCCCACAGTGCAGCCCCACAGTGCAACCCTACGGCCTCTCCAGCACTGCCCTGCTCCCACAGTACAGCCCCACAGCACAGCCCCACAGCGCAGCCCTACAGCGCAGCCCCACAGCGCAACCCCACAGCGCAACCCCACAGCGCAACCCCACAGCGCAACCCCACAGCGCAACCACACAGCACTGCCCTGCTCCCACAGCGCAACCCCACAGCACAGCCCTACAGCACAACCCCACAGCGCAACCCCACAGCACAGCCACACAGCACTGCCCTGCTCCCACAGCACAACCCCACAGCGCAACCCCACAGCACAGCCCCACAGCACTGCCCTGCTCCCACAGCGCAACCCCACAGCACAGCCCTACAGCACAACCCCACAGCGCAACCCCACAGTACAGCCCCACAGCACTGCCCCGTGCTCCGTGCAGGGATGGCACAGGGAAGCAATGGGAACACAACTCCTGTTTCCAGTCAGCATTCCCGGGTTCAGTGCTCCCTTCCCAGCAGCACAACAGGAGTGCTGAGGGCTTGGTGCTGCAGCCCTGCTGAGGGAAGGCTCTGGCACCCACAAACCCGGGATAAACGTGGGGACAAACCCGGGATAAATGCAGGGACAAACCTGGGATAAATGCAGGGACAAACCCAGGATAAAGGCGGGGACAAACCCGGGACAAACTGGGGGACAAACCCGGGATAAAGGCGGGGACAAACCCGGGATAAAGGCGGGGACAAAACCAGGATAAAGGTAGGGACAAACCCGGGATAAATGCGGGGACAAACCCGGGATAAAGGCGGGGACAAAGCCGGGATAAACGCGGGGACAAAGCCGGGATAAACGCGGGGACAAACCCGGGATAAACGCGGGGACAAACCCGGGATAAACGCGGGGACAAACCCGGGAACAAACTCGGGATAAACGCGGGGACAAACCCAGGATAAATGCAGGGACAAACCCGGGATAAACGCGGGGACAAACCCGGGATAAACGCGGGGACAAACCCGGGATAAATGCAGGGACAAACCAGGGATAAACGCGGGGACAAACCCGGGATAAATGCAGGGACAAACCAGGGATAAAGGCAGGGACAAACCCAGGCAGGTGCTGCTCCTGCAGCGCTGCCCATGGGCGATGGACACGGCCCCTTCCCCACTCCAATCCTGACTTTGTCCTGCTCAGCCTGGAGCAAAGGAGGCTCTGGGGGTTCTTGTGGCTCTGCACAACTCCTGACAGGAGGCGGATTTGGGATCTCATCCCCGGGAACAGGGACAGGAGGAGAGGGAACAGCCTCAGGCTGGGCCAGGGCAGGGGCAGGGGGGATATTTGGGAAATTCCTTCATGGAAAGGGCTGTGCACCCGTGACACAGAGTAAAGCCCAGGGAATACAAACAGGGATGGATGGAGCCCTGGGATCCCAAGAGAGGAGCCCGAGGCTGGGCTGATCTGGGGAACAGAACCTGTTTCCATGCACTGCCAAACGAGGGAATGACTCTGAGGGTCAATGTCATACCCTCCCACTGTGATCCCTTGCAGTTTGCCTCCATGAGACACAGAACAGCCCAAAAACTGCACCCTGGTCATAAACCACACCGAATGAAACTCTCTGGATTTCATTCATGGATTCTGAGGGAGCTCTTAATGCTTTACTTACACCTCGGATCACTTTTCCTACGCCAACTTTGAAACTCAAGGGCTTGGCTGCTTTTTTCTTCTTTGAACCTGGAAAAGAGTTTTATGTTCATTTGCTTCAGCATCACACACCACACTTCTGGGCAGAACTGCCATTACAGTCGTGCTTTATATAAATATCTGTTCTTATAAAATTATATCAATATCTGTTCTTATAAAATTATTTTTAGCTCGATATATTTTTCAGGAGAAATGTAAGTGCTGTGCACTGAAAACATCATTAAATGTTCAAGATTCACAAAAGCATCTTTCAACCCTCAAAGATTTATTTCCGAATTACTCAACTGACTGTGCAAGTCATGGACATATTAAGGAACCAAAGAAAGTCAACAGGGAACATAAAAGTTTGAGGAATTACAGACAGTATTCCAGTGATTCTGGAATGCTGTTCCTGAGTGTGGGATATCAATGCTGGGAAAGCTTTTCTAGTATTGCACAATTTGATACCCCTAAACCCTGTGATTTGTCACAAAAACACCAGCAGGGAACATTACACCCCAGAATACACAAATCCCTCTCCTTCCAGTGCCTCCATATTTAGAGATTTACCACAGAAGGACCCCAAGATGTGTTTATTTAGAGGAATTCAGGCCAGTGCTGGTGTTCTGTAGGAATCACCTCCCCTTTGAGGCAGCACTGACTCCCTGCATTCCACATTCCCCAGCTCTGGAATGCCAGGGCTGGCAGGATGCAGCTGTGTCACTTGACACCAGCCAGTYCTAAAATACTGCCCTGCACTACCTCATGGAAAATCGGGATCCCGCAGCTCAACAGCACCATGATGAAGCTGTTTGTCAGGAATCCCCCCAGGCACACCTTCCAAAGGCAAACCCCGGCCCAGATATGCTGAAGGAGCCCAGTTTATTCCCCCCAGGAGCATTTCCAACCAACCCAAACAGTTTATCTGGACATCTGTAAATCCAGAACCTTACTGGATTGAACATTGGTATCGAAGACTGTCCCATCCTGCAGCTTTCCTGTGTACCAGCAATGGACGGTGTCTCCTTTCTTTGGGAAGTTGGTTTTATCGCCCTTCTTTAAAATGGATTTGGTGTACTTTGGCAGCCCCTAAGGTTATAAAAAGAGTTTATAAAAAAAGAGTGACAGGTGAGTTGAATAGTCTCAGATATCCAAGACTGAACAACCACTTAAAGGCATCAATGATTTTATGTTTGTGAATGTTCACGTACTGCAGAGCTGCAACATTGGGGGGAAATGCAGCAGTTTAAGGCAAAGGCAGGGTACAAACAGCAGACTTCTTGCTGTAATCATGTTTTTGAAGACTTTGAATCAGACAATCCCCTGAGTTGGAAGGGACCCCCAAAGATAATCCAGCCCAGTTCCTGTCCCTGCCCAGACCTCCCAATAATCCCCCCCTTTCCAAATGCTCCTGAAGCTCTGGGACCATTCCCTGGGGAGCCTGGGGAGTGCCAGCACCCTCTGGGGACACAAAAACCTTTCCCCGATCCCCCCGAGACATCTGCCCCGGGATAATTTGCTTTCCCACGCGAAAAACTCGAGGTGAGAGCATCACACCAACCTCGTCCACCGCCTCCTCCGCCTTCACCGCCTTCCCCTTGGCCTCCTCCGCCTTGGGCGGCTTCGCCTTCTCCGCCGCCTTCTCGGCGCCGTCCGTGCCCTTGAAGCGCTGTGAGGGGAAGGATGAGCAGCCACAATTCCCGGTCACATCCCCGGCCCCATCCCCGCTTCCCCCGGCCTCACCTGCGTGTGGAAGAGCTGYGTGTAAGCCGCGATCAGCTGCTCCTTGTTGGCCGTCTTGGCCACGTTCTTCACCTGCCCCAGCAGCTTGTGCTCCGCCAGGAACTGCGGGACACGAGTGGTTGCGATAAAAAAAAAACAACCAAACCTCTAATTCCCAAACCAGAATAATTTAATGCTCGCAGCAATTACCGCCTGCGCCGCGTGCTCCTGCAGGAATTTGATGATTTCTTTCTTGGCCAGCGCCTCGCTCCGCAGCTCCTCAGCGCTCCAGGGCTGCGCCGGGCCCGCCGCCGCCGCCATCTTCCCGCCCGCCTCCTGMTCCTGCTCCTCCTCCGGAGAGGAGGGTCGGGAAAGCGGCCGGCAGCGACAGAGGGCGGGCGGGGACAGCGCTGGGGGAACGGGGAGGGTCGGGAAGGCGCTTTTGGAGCGTTCCCTACACGCCCGGAGGAGATTCCCGGAGGGATTGCGGGCGGCGGTGCTGAGGGAGGGACGGAGCGGTGCCGCCTCAGGGCGGGCAGCGCCGTGCGGGACAGGAGCGGCGGGAGATAACGGGATTTACCCGGGGCTCGGCGGGCTCCTGGGGGAAGGGGAGGGCCGGAGCACGGCCGGCGGGAAGGGGAGGGCCGGGAGGCGGCTCCTCGTGGCTCTCGGCGGCGGTTTGAAGGCGCGGCGGGCCGGTGGAAGATGGCGCTGAGCGGGGCGGGATGAGCGGCGGGCGGCAGCGCACTCTGCCGCAGGTGTGGCGGGTCCCTCACGGCAGAACCGAGCCCGGGGACTCCGCTAACCACAGCGATGACGAGCTGCTGCTGGCAGCCGCGGCCGCGGCCGATCCCAGCCCGGTKCGGGGGTTCAGCGAGGCGGCGGGCTCCATCTGGATCTACCCCACCAACCTGCCCGTGCGCCCGTACCAGGAGCGCATGGCCGGCGCCGCGCTGCTCGCCAACACCCTGGTGTGCTTGCCCACCGGCCTGGGCAAGACCTTCGTGGCCGCCGTGGTCATGTACAACTTCTACCGCTGGTTCCCGTCGGGGAAGGTGCTGTTCCTCGCCCCCACCAAGCCGCTGGTGGCCCAGCAGATGGAGGCGTGCGGCCGCGTCATGGGCATCCCGGCCCGGGACATGGCGGAGATGACAGGTACGGGCCGTCAAAAGCCACAGCGCAGGGAAAAAGAATAAAATGTCAGATGTGTTTGAAGGGTTAGCTGCTGGTTTCGCCGTAGGTAAAGCCCCAGGTCACCTGTATAAAGGGTGAAGCGCTGGGGTGCAGCCCTGGGGATGTCTGTGCACGCAGTATGCTGTGAGTGGTGATTAAACCAAAGAACAATGGCTGGGTTT